AGCCCGGCCGGCGGCGCCGCGGAGCCGGAGCCGGAGCATGATGTCCTACATGAAGCAGCCCCACTACGCGGTCAACGGGCTGGCGCTCGCCGGGCCCGGCATGGACCTGCTGCACTCGGCCGTGGGCTACCCGGGTGAGCGGGGGACACGGGGACACGGGGATGCAGGAACATGGGGACGTGGGGGTGCTGGGATGCGGGGACAGGGGGACATGGGGTTGTGGGGATGGAGGGACACGGTGATGAAGGGACAGGGGGACGTGGAGATGTGGGGACACGGGGACGTGAGGATGTGGGGACATGGAGACATGGTGATGCAGGAACACGAGGATGTGGGATGTGGGGATGCAGGGACATGGGGATGCAGGGACAGGGGGACATAGGGGTGTCAGGATGAAGGGACATGGTGATGAAGGGGGACGTGTGGATGCGGAGATGCAAGGACGTGGGGACATATTGATGTGGGGACATGGGGACGTGCGGATGCAGGGACATGGGACGTGGGGATGTGGGGATGCAGGGACATGGGGATGTGGGGATGTGGAGATGCGGAAATGCAAGGACAGGGGGATGTGGGAACATGGGGACATGGGGACATGGGGTTGTGAGGATGCAAGGACATGGGACATGTTGATGTGGGGACATGGGGACATGGGGATGCAGGGACATGGGACATGTTGATGTGGGGACGTGAGGGCGTGGGGATGCAGGAACATGGGGATGTGGGGATGCAAGGACATGGGGACATGGGGATGCAGGGACATGGGACGTGGAGATGCGGAGATGCAAGGACATGGGGACGTGGGGATGCAGGGACATGGGACGTGTTGATGTGGGGACATGGGGACGTGGGGATGCAGGGACGTGGGGATGCAGGGACGTGGGGACACCGGGGCATGGGGCCACCGGCTGGACTGAGGCGCCGTGCCGTGCAGCCACGCCACGCAAGCAGCGCCGCGAGCGCACCACGTTCACGCGGGCGCAGCTCGACATCCTCGAGGCGCTCTTCGCCAAGACGCGCTACCCCGACATCTTCATGCGCGAGGAGGTGGCCCTCAAGATCAACCTGCCCGAGTCCCGCGTGCAGGTGAGCGGCGGCGGCCGCGCGGGCGCCCGCGGCGGTATCTGCATCTCCATGCATGTGCATGCCGCTGGGTGCAGCTTGGTGCATGTGCATGCTGCAGGGGGGGGCACACACATGCCAGGGGTTGAGGACAGAGTGCAGCTCTATGCCCATGTGTGCAGCTCAGTGCATGCAGGGGTGCAGCTCCATGCATGTGCATGCCGCGGCGTGCAGCTTGGTGCATGTGCATGCTGGGGGAGTGCACACACATGCCAGGGGTTGAGGACAGGGTGCAGCTCTATGCCCATGTGTGCAGCTCAGTGCATGCAGGGGTGCAGCTCCATGCACGTGCATGCCAGGGGTGCAGCTCCACGGACACGCAGTTGGGGGGCTCAGCTCTGCAGCTCCATGCATGTGCATGCCGCGGCGTGCAGCTTGGTGCATGTGCATGCTGGGGGAGTGCACACACATGCCAGGGGTTGAGGACAGGGTGCAGCTCTATGCCCATGTGTGCAGCTCAGTGCATGCAGGGGTGCAGCTCCATGCACGTGCATGCCAGGGGTGCAGCTCCACGGACACGCAGTTGGGGGGCTCAGCTCCATGCACATGCATTCCATGGAGCTCAGCTCCATGCACATGCATTCCAGGGGTGCAGCTTGGTGCATGCACAGCTCCTTGCACACACATTCCAGGCTTGCAGCTGCTTGCACACACAGTCATGGGATGCAGCTCCTTGCATGCACATTCTGGGGATGCAGCTCCTTGCACACAGCCAAGGAGGGGTGCAGCTCCTTGCACATGCATTCTGAGGGTGCAGCTCCTTGCATGCGCATTCCGGGGGCGCAGTGCTTGCACACGCATTCCGAGGGTACAGCCCCTTGCACACACATTCCGATGGCACAGCTCCTTGCACACAGCTAAGGGGGAGGTACAGCCCCTTGTACACGGATTCCAAGGGAATAGCTCCTTGCACGCACATTCCGAGGGCACAGCCCCTTGCACATGCATTCCGAGGGCACAGCTCTGTCACACGCATTCCGAGGGCGCAGCTCCTTGCACACGCATTCTGGGGGCACAGCCCCTTGCACACACATTCCAGGAGCACAGCTCCTTGCACGCGCATTCCAGGGGCGCAGCT